GAAAAAAAATATATTTTTATATCATGTAAAAAAAAATCATTTGTTAAAATGCAAAAAAATAAATCTATCCATAACATGAAATATGATTAAGTAAGTATTTTAGTTAGGGTGGAGGTGGGGTGAGGGGGTGGGGCGGGGGGTGGGTGGGGTTGGAAGGGTGGGTGTGGGGTGGGAAGGTTGAGAAGAAGTTTTAGAAAATATTTTCCCTTCTTTTGATAGGGAAAATATTTTTCTTCAATTGGAGAAAAATGAGTTGATGAGGAAAATATTTTTCAAAACTTTTAAGCCAATCAAATATGAAAAAATTAAAAAATATTTTCCGAAAAATATTTTTCTTCCTACGAGACGAGTACCTTTTTTTTTCCTTTTCATATGGAATAGTACTATCTTCTTCTTCTTTTTTTAAATTTCTTCCATTCATGCAAACAAGAGAAGAGAAACTTGCTTTTTCTGTAATGACTTTCCTTAAGAAGACATTTTTGCACTCGTTTCATATTGAAGTCGGCTTCAGATATTCAACTTCTTCCTTCCTTATCGCGGAGTATATGATGAGATGCAGGAAGTGTTAGGGTTTGCGTTGATTTTTTTATTATATTTGAATTTTATTTATTATTTAAAGAAATGATAAAATATTTATCATAATTGTTTTTATTCTAAAAGAAAATATTTAATTCCTTTCATGTATTTGATAGGTTCATTTTTTGGAGTTCAATATTATGGACCTTCATAAATTGAGGATACATCCTTTACAGGAAAATACGATAACATATCACAATGTAGTAAGAAAGTCTTGTCCAAAGGAGAATTTATTTTCTCGAGTGATTTTTTTTTCTCTTTATTAGATTGATGTAAGTCAATTGACCTAGTCAATTGACCAAATTATATTGAATTGTGATTACTTCTTTGATGTATTTCTCTTTTATCGTCTCATTATTATCGTCAAGGTTTGCTTTCCTAGCATCCACGTGATGCTTTATTATTCAAATCCACATAAGTTGTATTAAAGCTACTAGTTCAGTGAGGTTAAGTCAAGTTCAGATCAAATTGCAACCAATTTGACGATAATGAAGAATTCGTCCAAAAAAAATCTGTCCAAATTAAAGTACTACACGTTGAGATAAATTTGCAACCATATTTTTTCAATATTTCTGACGTATCTTTAAAAAAAAAACATTTTTAATGATGCTTACTTTTAAGGTAAAATTTCACATGAGAATAACTAGGATTCCTACTTTTCAATTTTATAACACATATTTTAATTTACAACCAACTAGCCCAAAAATAATAGGCTAAGATTAAACATCCACCTCCAATAAATTCTCGAAATTAATATTTAATTTTTAAAAAAGATTGCTCAAGCTTTTAAGTTAATTTTCGAATTAGCAACTATAACTCAAATATTAGTTCAACAAACCAAATCCATTTGAATGGTGAAAATTAAATTTTTAACAAGCTTAAATATGTGGGTTTAGATTTCGAATTTAATTTTGTGAGAAATTTGGAGTGGGTGTTATTTAGAATTGTTAGAAATAATATGAGGAGGTTGTATATAAAATTGAAGTTATTTAATGGAGATTTGGACTGGTTTTGAACAAGAAATGCAACTGAAAATCGTGGAAGACGTTCGTCTACAGACACTTGTATAAAGGTGTATAATAGTGTATCAAATGTGTTTATACACCCATATACACTATTATACAAGATTATACATAATTATACAAAAAACCGACTCTGTCTTCTTCCTTGCGTCTTTTCTGAAATTTAACTCAAATCTACTCAAAATCACTTCAAATTAAAATTTTGAACTCATTTTGATATTTTTAATTAATTGGAACAACACCCAATCCAAACAACTATCAAACTCAAAAAATCCTATTTTCGAAAGCAAAGCTTTGAATAGCCTTCAATGGTGGACTTCTACTCTTCAATTGTTTTACATTGCAACCAGGTGACACAGGGGGAGAAGAGTAATGGCGGACAGCCCCTTGAAGCATATGTAGAAGATGTGAGAAGAAAAGAGAGTGAGAGCAATGGTTGTGAGAACACAAATTTAACTCCATAGATTTTGAATTTGCTAGTGCTTTCAAAATATGTACAATATTGGCTCGTGTACAATTTTCGCAAGGTCTTGAAAATTTTTCAAAAATGAGTTTTTCAAAAATCAAAAAATGATTTTGATGACTCTTTTGAAATTTTCAGAAAAACTCTTTTTCTACTCACAAAACTGCAATTTTTTTTCAAGTGAAATGCATGTCCAAACACCATTTTTTAACTTAACTCCAAATATTACTCTTATTCAAAAATTACAATTTTTATGTCCAAATGCCTACTAACTTTTAATCATGACAAGCAGCAGTAATAAAGATTATGTGAAGAAGACGAATCAAGCTTTATCAAAAAATTTCAAGCCCAAGAGAACTATTACTCTCTCCTGTCCAAAATAAGTGATTTTTTTGGCCTTTTTCTTGTGGTCCAAAATAAGTGATTTTTCAAGATTTCAAGAATGAATTAATTATTTTTTTCCTACATTGTCCTTGGAGTAAATAGTGTTGGAATATGTGTTAGGAGTGTTTATGTGAGATAGTAAAGGTTAATATGGTCAATTTCATTGCTAATTAAAGCTAAAAGGTGGATTTATTAATCTGTGTGAAAACATCCAAAAAATCACTTATTTTGGACCGGAGGGAGTACAGTATACCGTGATTTTCTTATCGGATTTTAGCTATTACTTGGAGAAATATCAAGAAGTAAATCGGACATGTTTGTAGTATTGACTCGTTATTCATTTGGTCTGCAGTTAAGGTGGTTCCAATTGTTTCAAAAACAAGGTGAATGTTTTTGGCCAATGTTTTTTTTTCCTATTTATAAAGTTGTGGTGTTTGATTGTTTTGGCGAGACAAGTTACTTTTGCCCGAAATATTTGACCTTGCTTTCGAAACATACGATTCCTTAGAAACCCGTTTGACCTTAAATTTTGTCAAAATATATTTGGAATTTTTTGGGCAAATACATATTTGGCAATAAATTTTATCTACATTTTGGCAAATTTTTAAAACTCAAAACTTAAATCCCAAAATATTACTATTATATTTTTTAAAAATTGTCCCAAACTTTTGTATCTTACAAAAGATCCCACCATTTATTATTTTGTAACAATGCTGCTTCGTCTTCTCGGTCATCTGATAGTGTATTATGTAGTTCATTATAAAAATGATAATTTTATGCTAAATTTATTTATATTCATGACTATGGTTTGCGATAATATAATAAATTTTATTAATAAAAGTACTATTGGGTATTTGTGATAGTTTTTAGAACTTGTGGGTATAAATTATGTTTCATGTTTTTTCAACAAAAAAAGTGAAATATGTTTTGAAAACTTATGTCTAAAAACTTCATCCAAATTCCATACCATGCATGGAAAGTACACCCTATGTTACAGTTTATGTGAATCTATTTTCGTTTTGGACCGTTCCAAAAAGAATGACTCATTTCTAAATTTGAAAACAATTTAGCTTAAACTTCTAACTCTATCCTTAACGAGAAGCATTTATAACCACACAAATACAATACACCCCTTTTTGACTGGTTTAAAATCACAAATTCTAAAAGTTTTAATTTTTTCTCAAATAAATTCACATAAATTGGGAGGGAGGGAGATTATTTTATAAAAGTAGCACCTTCACCTAACAGGATAAAAATGATTTATTTTAAATGAAAACTATTCTAGATAAAGTAGAACAAAAAAAAGAGGAAAAGAAGGACAAAAGATAAGCAGTACATTACTAATAATAGATTACAATTTTCACAGCATTTTTGACCACCCCTTGACTACATAATACAATTTCTTTTTCTTTTATCCGCAATCAAAAAGGCTGTGAAAATAGAACCCCCTTTTTTGTCCTAACCCTACCTTAAAAGAAAAAAGAACAACATTAATATAGTCCATAAATATTTCTAAGAAACCCATCTAGTAATATTAATGGGTCCCACCGCCTCCCTACTACTACGGCACACACTTAACGTGAAATACTTAATAAACCAGACTTACTGATAAGACAAGTTACGTCAATAAAGATAAATAAAAAAAGAAAAGAAATCACGTATCACGTGATCATCACCTAAAAGTCACGTGACCTCCGCCATGCAAGAACGGGGAACTAGCTCCAACAGCACCAGGCCTTAAAGAAAAAACCCCATTCCAGATCTCAGTAAAAGCCCTCACAATGATTCCATGGTAATGAGGAGAATTCAGCTGTAAGAAGCAGTGGAGCAGCTCTTTTAAGTCATCCTTAGAATAAATCTCCTTTTCAAGAATCATCTGCAGCATTGACTGCCGGAAATCCAAGTACGGGTCGTCGGAATCTTTCTCGACGGCGACACTCTCGCCGCCGATTCGACCGAATCCCTGAACGGCCCTTAAGCTTTTGATCTCTGAACATTCAGTAGTACTGTCGGAGGAGTAATTATAAGCTGGTGGAGTTTCCATGTTGGGTGAGAAAGTTGTTGTCGTAGTGTCCCAAGAACTACAAGAAGAGTAGTTAGAGTAGTTGTTGTTTTTCTGGGATTGAGGGGCTTTCTTGTTATGGAAAGTGGTGGATTTGTGACGTGGTTTTGGGTGAAAAATGCTGGAGAGTTTAGGCCTAGTGCAACTGCTGCTGCAACCAAGTTTCACTGTCACATTGCTAAGAATAATCCTTCTTTTGTGACTTGACATTGTAGAGATTCAGAATGAGGGATTTCTTTGGGG